ATGACGCTTTAACGACTGGCCTATTTGTCAAAAAGAAAAAGAGTGGCACTCTTTTTTTGAGGTGAAAGAGTAAAAAAAATCCGTACACCGTCCATTTCCACAAAGAAGTGTGCGTAGAAGGGAAATTACAAAAATAAGTCGGTCTTCAGTCCAATACATCTCCAGTTAGGAATATTTAACCAACCCCAGTTCCATCAAACTTGCAGTAAAACAATTAATTTGGATTACGGGTACCAACGCGTTAAAAAAAATTAGGGACTGTTTGGTTCTATGTTTTTATCATGTAAAAGGATAGAAAGTGTAAAAAAATGGGTCTCAATGTCAGCTTTCATCACTTTACATTGTTTTTTAAATTCTCTTTGACATGAAAAGTTTACACATTTTGATGAGGTGTCACCAAAAGCAAAATCACCAAAATTAGAAGTGATTTTGTTGGAAAGCTTACACAATGTCATAAATGTGTCCAAAATAATAATAATAAAGTCAAAACCTTGTAGAAAGTGGTGAGGTGGATAACCACTTTCCATTTTGTGTCATAAATACTCTAGTTTACATTATACTATCCAAACAATGTAATACTATTATTTTAGGATTCATAAAGATTACTAACCAAACAATGTAAACACTCGAATGGAAAGTGGTAAGGTGGATAACCACTTTCTATTTTGTGTCATAAATACTCTAGTTTCCTAAAGGCATCCAAACAGCCCCTTAGTGTAAATGTGTCAGAGGGATGGACCTTTCCATTCAGATCTTCACTAGAAAAATAATTTGATGTATGCAGTTGTGTTTGTATTTACATTTTATAAAAATCTTGAGAAGGATGTAGAAAAAGCAAATTATGCAACATGTACGTGCTCTATTGTCGATGTCAATTATCTAACGAGGGTTTGTTTGTGGATTATTAAGGGTGCTAGTGTCTTCAATCTTCTTCAAACGGCTGGTACTTAAGCTGAGACTATTGTCCTGCACATGAAAAATACATATAAGGTCGGGGTTGGGATCTCCGATATTTCCTCCAACGATCAACTCAATAGAAAGCTCGAGTGGAGAAGAAAAAGAGTCAAGCATTCAGCTTCTTAGCATGAGGATCGCTTACCCTAGGCAACAGACAACAGTTTTCTTTTATATCAGATCTGAGGGGCAGTTAGGTAACTTCGGGCGATTTGAGCTAGCGGCTCAATCGTCATCAGGTGTCGGGTGCAGAGGGGGATGAGTCATCCAGACGTTTAATATGAGGGCGACAGGGTGTGCGTGTTGCTGACGAGGCCCGATGAGCCTTAAAGACTTTCGGGGCAGGAGAAATGATGACTCTGATCATTCATTTAATGTGATGGGAATTGTCTGTCAGTGGGGAAGGGGGCCAAGGACACACCGTCTTTCGACTCGTCTCATTGGAGGTCGATAAATATTGCCTTTTTAGTTGGACTCGAAAGTTGTCGGCTTGGAAGTGTTGAGTGCTAAAGGGGAGTGGGGTTGACTTGAATGGTAGGTCGAGTGAAGACGCCTATCGTCCTGATCTCTGCGAGTGGGCCAATAAGTACCATCATTTTAGTTGATCTTACGACTTGTCGACCCGGCCTTGAAAAGTAAAAGGAGTAAGGTCGGCCTAAATGGAGAGTTCGAGTGAGAACGCCTCTTTAACTCGGACCTTCTTTGAAAAAATTGTGCGCATATGCTCCTTGAATTGTCTTGGCGAGGGGGAAGCGAACTGAGGATTAGCCAATATGAGACACGTGTTGACTTTAGAGAGAGGATTAACACTCAGGTTTTTGTAGGATGTAACATATACTAAAGAGTTTTTGTTCCTTGTAGAAATTATCTTTAAAACAGGATCATTATGTAGAAACAACCTATATTTTTTAATGTATACATAAGCCACTTTCAAAGGGGTTTATGTGGCATTCAACCACCTGATCCCACATTCAGTTAAACTTTTTCCAATAAATGACACTAGCACACCTTCGTTAAGGGCTAATTATTATAGCAATATCTAAAAAACTTGACTTAAAGTGACTTCGAGTGGTTGATTGTAGAAAAAAGCCGTTTAAAGGTGGTTCACATATAAATTAAAAATTAAAGATGATTTATGTAGAACGAATCTATTTTAAAGGTGTTTTTAGTGAGAAAAAAGTATATTAGAATAAAGGCGTACAAAAGGCATATTATTTTTCGTTTAACTAGCAAAGGTTATTAGCCATGGTGTACACAGCTGAGTTCCAATCTCGCTGAGTTCGATTGGAAGGCGCCTCGCTCCGTCTGCACGATTATCATTTTGCAGGTCTTCATATCCAAAGTGTTTCAGACCCCACACGACCTGATTCAAGTCGGAAAACTTTAGAGGGGGTTTGTAGGCGTCAAAAAAATGCTTACAGACGTCCAAACACCACTCAAGACAACATAGAAGAACAATATACACGTCATCAGGCAGCACTGTGGCGCGGCAGCCAATGGTGCCGCGGCTAAGGCGCGGCAGCCCATGGTGCCGCGGCTAAGTGCGGGCGACAGGCTTAGGGTGCCGCGGCTTAGGCGCTGCACCTGGCAGTGCGCGCGGCACGTTAAAGAAGGATGCTGTGACAGTTATATAGGCAGTTATTCGATGATTTTTGAAGTCCACGTGGCGGCGTATCAGAAATAGAACGTGTGCTGACGTGGAAAACAGTTAAACCACGAAAAAAGGTGGTTAAAGGTCGTGGGAGAGCGGTTTTAGGCACGGTAGAACGTGCTGGTAACCGCTCTTTGGTCGCGGGTAGCCTATACTGCCGCGCCAATGGCCGCGGCAGTATAGACTGCAGCGGCCAAAGAACAGTTATTTGGTCAATTATTTTGCCCCCGTTTTAACTGTGGTGCACCAAGACCCCTATAAATACCTCCCTAGACACGAAAGAAAGGACAGAGGGCAGACCAGAGCAGAAGGCTTGAGCTTTTGGTGATTTTGAGCAAGAAAGAGAGTCTTCCTTCTTCACAAATATCCTCAAGAAACTTTTGGCGATTCCTAGAGATCTAAGCTCAGACTTGATCTTTGGAAGAGTGAACATCTTACATCGATAAGATATTCGCTTATTTTCATTCTTACTTCGATAAACGAAGGAAGAATTCCTAAAGCCTTCACGATTCAATCAGAATCTGTGATTTGGGGTCCACGAGTCAAAGCACTCCCGGCACAGGCAAAGATCCCACACAAGCAGCGATCCAAACAACGATCCTGCGTTTGTTTCTCAAGAGTTGTAATTTTCATTTTGTTGTGTAAAAGAAGTCTTATAAAAAGGCTATTTCTTTTTGAATTTATTGTAATCGACTGAAGATATAATGAATTCTATGACAAAACCAACTTTTGACGCAAACAGGGTTCTGTAGGTAATAAAAATTACATTTATTCCCTATCAAAGAAGTTCAGAACAAGACTGTTAAAACCTCATCCGAAAGAGCAAAAAAGAGGAAAACGCTAATATCTCTCAAACCATAAGGAATTTGGTGAAACGGAGGCGACAAACCCCCTTTGGTGGTTTGGTTGGCCCCGTATCGTCGAGATGTGCGATTTTCATATATAATTCGTCCAATTACGAGTTACGGTTTGAAAGTTACGACCTGTTCTTCATAGCATATTCTGAAGCTCGCCTGAAGAGCAACCTCGCCTGCAAAGGAGTTTA